TTTGTTTTTCTACAAACTTGCACTTCCTCCTTGGCATCCGCTTTCCATTGCATTCCCCCAGCATCGCACTGCAACTGCATTCTGTGGCAGTGCTACCACACCTCCTTATTCTTTTTTTTTTTGCGCCCCTTCCATTCCTTTCTTGAGCCACCTATACAAGCATAATTACAAGCGACCGTGTGGCCCAATGGATAAGGCGTCGGACTTCGGATCCGAAGATTGCAGGTTCGAGTCCTGTCACGGTCGAACAATAGTAATTATTTTTTACATTTATTCCTTCTTTAATTATTGCATTTTAGTGGTTCTTCAATGGTCTTTCAGTCACCGAAGATCCTATACTTTTTGTATGAAAATACTTCAGCTATCACTCGCAGAAGGAGAGTTCAAAGCAATTTCTGTTGGTTGGTTGCTTCGGTTGGTTGGTCATTCCTGCTTTCAACATCATTATTAAATTTGCGGCAATTAATTTCCATGCCCACAGCTCACCCGCATTCCACCATTCCACCATTCCACTCTCTCTACATTCTCCATTGTCCATTATCCATTCTCTCCCGTTGTTCTCTCTCGTCCTTGTTTACGGGCGACATCCGTTTGTTAGTTTTGATGCAGGTTGACGATGTCTGCGGGGTGTCTGTCTGTCTGTCTGTCTGTGCCGTGATAATGATATAACGATAATGACTATGGTGGCACTGGCACACTGGCACTGGCAGAGAGAGACCCTAATTAATTTCTTTAGCTTTTGTCTGCAGTTATTTGCCGCATATGCAACCCGAAGACGGGGGGAGGGGCACACCAGGGGCCACCAGGTGAGAGGTGGACACATTTCAAAACTTATTTTTGTGAAGGAGAAACTTTTTACGAGCCAAAAACGAAAATGTTTTTGCTCGTGCGAAAAGTTTTTTGGGGGGCCATAACCTCAATTATATGCAAGGAAGCTCATTGTCTGCTCTCTCTCTCTCATTCTCTCTCTCGACTTACTATTCTCGCACTCTTCACTTTGTCTCTCTTTCTCCTCCTGTTCTCTTCTTTTTGGGCCAACTTTTCGATAAGCGTTTAATTGCTGGTCGAGGACTTCACCGTCTTCCACCTCCGCCCCCCATACTCTGTCAGGGAAATGCGCAGACAGAGGCAGGGGAGGAATCAGGGTCGGAGGGAGGAAGTACAGCAGGGGCCAAAGGGACTGATGGTGTATGCGTTGGGCAATTTTCGAACCGGATGTTAAATGTCAGAGCCTCTTGTCGTTCGGCAATTTATAAGCGACAGGCCGCTGTCAGAGGCCAGCAAATTGATGCCTCAACCTCATGGCCGAATGTCCGAGCGGATTGCAAAACATTTTACGGCCGTAAGTGATGGCAAATCATTGTGGAAATTTCCCTAATTAATGTTGGATTGCCATGCGATGCTCGCGCTAGACAGCAGGATACCGTCATGGGGAAAATTATGCGCATCCGACGAGAGATTATCCCCCAATCCTCTGTTGTAGGGATCTTGTACGCTCTCGCATTTAAATATGTATATTTTCCATTCCGGTAATCCAATCAACCGGAGACCCACTGCCACCCATTGCTTCACTCCCCACCCGCGTGGCATTATGATTACGCGCATTTATTTTTTTGGGGGCCAGCAGCCGCTCTGCCGCTCTGTCACTCTGCCACTCGGAGAATGAAATGTTTTGTCAACTTTTGTCTGAACTGACACTGCCTGAAAACCGAGCGAGAGCGTCAAAAGGCGGCGGGCAAACAGAGAGACAAAATGAGCAAACAAACAAACAGACAGACAGACAAACAAACAAACAAATACGCAAGCAAACAAACAAAAATTGACGCAATTTCTACTGCAATATGAAAAAGTTTTCGCTCCTTATATTTTCCGCACTCTTTTTTTTGTGTCTTTTTTGCTGCTGCTGCTGCTGCTCCTCTGACTGAGGCAGTGCTTCCGCCGACAGTCGAGGCTGTAATTTGCATTTGTAATCAAAAAGTTGCACATAAACTTTGTTTTATGCTCATTTTCCTTTCGCTACGTCACGTGTGTGTGTGTGTGCGAGTGTGTGGAAAAGCACAGTTTTCCCTGCGTGGAAAGCCTCCTCCGGTTGCTAAGACATGAAAGGACGACGACAAGCACACACACACACACACACACACACACACACAAGAGCAGAGTCGAGGAGAGAAGAGCAGAGGAGAGAGAAGACAAACTCTCATCATAATTTTTCCTAATTTCAAATTATTTCCATTAAAAGAAGTGATGGCTAAAGAGAACAAAAGGGAAGGGTACGGAAGGGTAGGGAAGGTCAGGGAAGGCAAGAGAAGAGAAGAGCGGAAGGGGGCAGTAGAGGAGAAGGACTCTCTATGATATATGATTCTCTCTGTGTATATTTTACGAACTTCTGAACAATGTTAAGACCTTTACGACCATTAAGGATTGAAATACATACTTTGTACTTTGTGCATACAAAATTGTACAAATGCGTAGGTATGTATTTATGTAAGTATGTACATATGTACATATGTAAGAGCCCTGCCTGAATCTGTTAAATTCTTTAAGGAAATCAGCTATCAGCTATGGCATTCAATTGGTGCTTTAGATATTGTATCGCATGAGAAGGAATGCCATATCCAATCCCCCCATCACACCCTCATTCTGGCTCTGAACATTTTCAATTTTCAATTAAATCTGAACCAAAATCATGGCCTGGCCTGGCCTGAGCTGGCCTGAGCTGGCCTGGCATCATCGGAATTTAAATGCTGCCAAAATTGCCATTTAATCAACTCTGATGCCATTTTCGGGTATGGTAGCCCAAAAGCGAAAATCAAATCAAATATTTACTTGCTGTTAAATTTATGACAAAAACGCAAATCGCATAAAAAGGTTTTTCCCCCTTTTCAGCCCATTTTCCCTTTGCACGAAGAGGAGAGTTTTCCCTCTTTCCTTTCTGTATTTTGTGGTAGCATAAAAAATGCGGCAAATATTTGCGTGCAGCTGCGACCCTTCCTTCGGTTGTGGGAGCGGAAAAAGTGGGCGAAGAGGCTGCTGTCAGACTTTTCCTTGACTTTCGAGTAGGCCTGAAAAAAGCGAATGCCAAGAGAATGCCCCGTGCCTTTCCTTTCCTCTCCCCTCCCCCATTTAAGTGCATTTATGCGGGATAGGAACCTCTAGCATTTCTCAGGATTTCCTTGAAGGAGAAGGCAGCACCTCCGTCTAGACTTTGCCTCCCTCTCCCTACCATTGTCTGGCCCTCCCCTTTTGGGCTGGCCTCTGGTCAATATTTAATTTGTCAAAGTGAGATTTTGGGTCTTTACTTTGGTTTGCCAGTCCAGTTGCAGTCGTTGTCGTTGCTTGCATTTAACAATTTGTTGATAAATTAGCCAAGCGGCATACCTCCCCCCCTAACCCATCACTGACGGGCCAAGAGACAGGCTAAGGCTAGGAAAAGTTTTACTCCTTTCACTCCTTTGACTTTTTCTGACATTTTCGGACTATTTTTCAGTACTTGCTTCACTTTTTAATGCTGATTTATAGCCCAGAAAGCCATAAAGACAAAGCCAAATGGCTGACCAAGCCAAACTGGGAGAGAGAGAGAGTGAACGATGAGTGTCAACAAGTTTTGAGCTTAGTCAATTTTCGGTTGAGTTTTTAAGAGGGTTTGGCCCCCAAGGATTTAGTTAATTAAAATACAATAAAATATTCAAGAAGTGCTGGCCACAGAAAGACATTTCCCTTCACTCCTCCTCCTCCTGTTCACGTCTCTGCTTATTCTCCTGTGTGTGTTCTCTCCTCTCCACTCCCTTCCCGCACGCTCAAGTTTTCTCCACAGCCACTTTTTTGGGACGAAGTCAATAGCAGCAGGAAGAAGGCGGAGCAGGCAGAGCGGAACGGAACGGAGGGAAGAGGCGAGTGTTGCAGCAGTAAACCAGTCTGCCACATGGCGTATGCGTGATGCAAGTGCATGCGGGTCAAGCAGGGGGGCAGGGTCATCCCACACAGATGTGGCTGTGGCTGTGAATGCGGAGGGAGGAGTGCTGTGGCAACTCAATTAATCTCCTGCTTCTCCTGCATCTCCTTCTGCTGCTGCTGCTGCTGCTGTTGCTGCTCTTAAACCTGCCATTCCACTCGTTGACCATTCGTTTTAAATGCATTTACATGGATTTATATTTAAGCAGGGAACTCCACTCCAATCCGTTTAAATTTTTGGTTAAAATTCTCTTCATTTCGTTTAAATTTTTGGTTAAAATTCTCTGCACTTCGTGTCGAATATTTTCGAGGGTTTTGCTTGGGCTTACTCCACTCTGGGATACCCCTTTTACAGAGAAAGAGAAAGAAAGAAAGGCCCCAAAAAGGGGTCATAGCAAGCAATCGAAACATGACTCTCTTCCAGTGTGGCTAAGCACTTAGGGCTGCGCAAAAATCACCTCTCTCTACGAGATAATGCATCCAAATGGACAGAGGGTATCACAACATTCGACCCACCGACGGTCACACTATCTTACTTTAATTTTCTATTTTTTGTGGCATTTTTGAAAGCTTTTTTGCGGGTAGCGGGTAGCGGAGAGCGAGAGAGAGAGAGGATTGCCAATTATGCAGAAGGGAAGGCCGCTGAATAAATATGAAATGACATAAATGACCCCAGAAAAAGTTACATTTTTCTTTTAATTTTGCCAACATTTTGCTGCGACCCTCGTCTGTGTGGCCCAACCACATCCTTGACAGCACAAAAAAAGGACAACAAACAACAACAACAACAACAAGGGGTGGGAAAAGGGCCGGGCCAGAGCTAGGAGGAATACAAAAAAAAAAAAAACACCATAAATTACATTTATGACTGACCGACCAAAAGCGCTTTAAATATTTACATGGCATGGAAGTATTTGTTAAGCGAAAAAGAGTCTTACGACTAGAATATACCCCATCCCTACCCACCCTCTCTCACTCTCACCCTCTCTCTCTCTCTCTCTCGCTCTCTCTCTCTCGATGTTTCAACATTACTTTGGTGATTTTCTGGGCATCCAAGTAGCCTTAGTTCTAGTGTCAGATGTGAATATAAATCACAATTCAAATGGATTCTACATCGACAATACAGAGAAACGAAACAGGTAAGAAAAATTAATTCTAGTAAAAAATCTGGAAAAATCGGAAAAACCTGCAAAAATAAAGTGCAAAAATTTCTACAACAGAAAACAAAGAAATGGAGGATCTCGATACAAGTGAAATTCAATCCACCGGCACAGCTGTGCGTGCACTGTGCAGGGAGCTCATGAAGCTGAAGAAGGACAAGCTCGAGGGCTTCTGCGTGAAGTTGTTCCGTGAGGACGATCTGTTCGACTGGGATGTGGGCATCTACGGGCCCCCCAACACCGTGTACCATGGGGCGTACCTGAAGGCCTCGATGCGGTTCCCCTACAACTATCCGATGCAGCCGCCGGACTTTTACTTCCGCACAGCGATGTTCCACCCCAACGTCTATGCCAATGGCATGATCTACATGTCCATCCTGTACGATGGCTGCTGGAACCCCACGATGAGCGCCCGCACCGTACTGCTGTCGGTGGTGTCGCTGTTGACGGGCCCCGACACCGATTGGCCTTGCAACCAGGATGCCGCTGATCTCTACATCAAGTGGCGCGACTCGCAGGGCGAGGACAAGACCTACGAGGATCTTGTGGCTCTACAGAAGGCCAACTGGAAGGAGATGGCACGTCTCGATGGTGTTGTGGTTCCTGAAACCGTGGAGGAGTACTGCTGCACCGCTGCCATCAAGGATCCGCTCGTAGCAGAGAACTTTCTCATGAACGAGCTCTGCGATCTCTCCGATCTCTCCGATCTCTCCGATCTCTGCTCTGCTTCAGAGGGGCATTAGCCATTAGGATTCTCTAATCGTTAGTCGTTCGAATTTGTTTACCATCATTGACACAACATATTCCAATAACAGCGTTTTAAATATTACTCAACATTCAACACCCAAAGACACACACACATCTACAAATTACTGGTGCAACGAGCAGCGGCACTCTGGCTCAGACACTCTTTTGGCCAAAAAAAAACAATATATATACATATCTACAGCACATAAATGTAGAATACACACCACACAAATATATACAGAATGCGGGGGAGGGAAGGGCGTGTGTGCAAACGATGTTCAAGAAAACTCAATGATAAACCAAAACCAAAATCAAAACCAAAACCAAAACTAAACGAATTTCTATTATTCATTTCGGAGAAGTCATTAGTTTTGACTTAAAGCGAAAAGAAAGCCGAAAAAGAATATCGGAAAATAGTCTTAGCATAGGAAATTTATTTGTATGGGCAGCCAATTCATGTTTCATTCATTTCGTTGCTCCTCTTCCTCCTTCACAAAAGTGTCAGTAGAAGCAGTTCCATTCATATATGTACATCCAGCACTAGTTTCCAATAGTATTCGAATGATTTTAATGATCCTCACGCCCATTTAAAGCTAATGCCTGCCATGGTAGCCCTTTAATGCAGTGTCTCATTATCATTTGAGGCACGCCTCCGTTTCTTTTTAATTTCTTATCGAGTATCTGATGGGTTTACATCTCCCTTTTGTGTAGCGCTTTGAATTTGCTAACAACTGTGAAATTTCTTGTAGATAAAGCGGGCTCTTCCCTTTGGCAGCTAATTCACTTGGAAAGTTTGCTAATAACTTGATTCAATTTACATTTGCTCTGTATGAAAAGCCACCAGTCGCTGCCACTCCGCCCTGACGCCACTCTCGACATCCGCGCTACTTTTGGGGGCAAAAAACGGAACGGAAATCGACACAAAACGTTGCAACTTCAAATGAATGCAGGATGGGCCTCTGGCAGACAGAGCTGAGCGTTGAAAAAAAAAAGAAATGAAATGGTATCCTCTGGTGCAGGAGCAGGAGCAGGAGCAGAAGCAGAAGCAGGACGTGGATGCGGACATGGGACACGGGACACGATGTCCGGACAAGATGGGGCAATTATTGTAAGCGGCTTTCATCGTGCGATGATTACACTTACAACAGAAATGGGGCGCGAGATGCGAGATGCGAGAGAGAAGGAAAGAGGATACATAGAGAGAGGAGGAGGAGCAGGAGGAGCAGGAGGAGCAGGAGGAGCAGCAGGAGCAGCAGGAGGTGGAGGAGGAGGATGTTGGATGGAGTAAAAAGAGAAATATAATATTGTAAGGGGAGCGGCAGGGGAGGCAACGCAACGCATTTACTCTGCTGCCGTCCTGTTTTTGGGTTCTTGCCTCTAATTTTCCTTCTATTTTTCCTCAATTTTTGCTTCCATTTTTTTTTTCCTGTGGTGTTCATTTCTCTTTGGACGAAAAGCTGCCTTCTTTTTTCTATTTTCTTCTTTATTTTTTTTTTTTTGGGGTATTTTTCTGGCCATGTTTGTTGGCCTAATTAGTGGCAGTGCATTTTTATAGCATAATTTTCGGCGTTGTAAGCGTTTTTCTCCCCCGCCACTCGCACAGCATTTCGACTTTGGTCCCCTTCCTCCTAGCCATGAAAATTGTACAACATGGAAATATTACATTAAAATTTATGAAACTGCAGGAGGGAAGTGGTTTTTGTGGTTGTCTCGGTGGGTGGCGGGGGGAGGTGTGGCGGGGGAAAACATAGAAAACAGAAAACAGCAAACAGAACATGGGAGTTGGCTACATTACACACTCCCTGGCACTGCCACAGCGGGTAGTAGTAGTAGTAGTAGCACAGGGATTCTGCAAAACGGGGGCAATTAGTGGCCAGCTCTGCTCCGCTCTCTCTCTCTCTCCCCCCGTCTCTGTTGTGCCGCATGCCCCCTGTGTCTTCCATTTAACATTTAGTTCTGGGCCAACACTCACCTGCGAACGAGATAAGAAGTAGATAAAGACTTGAATTAATTATTAGATCACAGCATGAATGAGTCTTACTTCTAGCTAAATGCGAATGCGAATCTGAGTGAATGGGCGAATGTGCGAATGCCAAACAAAAAACACAACTAAACGAATTTACAAAGCGGTTTAAATGCACTTGCAGGCAGGTCGACTAACAATATTTATTTGAATCCATCAATAATGTATTTTAGTTTTAATTTAAATGCCTGAAAAAAACCTTTGAGCAGACAATTAATCATGAATAGCCATGAATTTATTGACTGCATAATTAGGGGAATGGCAATAAAATATCCTGGAGTATATACCGTTGTAGTTGTAGCAGGGGCAATAACAAACTGCAGGCACTGTAAACAGTCTGCGGGCAATTCCCCAAAACGGAAATTTAAATTTCTCACTCCCTCCCTCCCACCCACCCACTCTCTCTCTCTGGCTTCTTGGGAAAACTGATAAATGAAATAATAATTTCCATTCGATGAAAGTTTGCCTACTTCTGGGGGCAACGGAACTTGCAACTTGACGCGGGGGGCATGTGGCATGCCTCTTGTAAATTTATGAACTTTATGGCCCGCCCCCTCGCCCCCAGTCCGCCAGTCGTTAGACGGTTGTCGGGGCATTCAGCAGTCAATATCTTGTGCATTTCAATAGTTCGGTGGTTGTTGCCCCTGCCCCACTGCACCCCACTGCTGGGGTTTGCAATAAAAATGCATTTCATGCTCGAAACATGACTTGGCTCAATTTATTTTACTTTGCCGCATTTAACGACTTCACACAGGCGCCTCCCAGACTCCCGCCCAGACCTAGTCGGGGCGGGGCAGCACTGGCAGAAACAACTGGGAGTCTGAGGCAACGAAGCACCGCACCGCACGGCACGAATGAATTTTCCTATTGGTCTGTGTGTGTGTTTTCTCTCAGTGTATGTCGTTTGGCAGCAGGCAACTCCATCTATCTATGGTTCTTCCTTTGCTGCTGCTGCTGCTGCTGCTGTGACTCCTTCTTCGATGACTCCTTCTGCCCCACACACACACACATATGTACATACGTATGCCTCGCTGCTCCTCTTTGGCGGCATCGTGTGGCATGGAGCATGCGGCATGGGGCAGCGGTGTAATGGTGTTAGACCACAATGAGCTCAATTTACGCCAATGATTGGCGGTGCTTGGCCAAAGCGAAGGAAGCAGGAAGCAGACACCACACAGCTAAAAAAAAAACTACAACAAAAAATAAAGAGAGAAAGGTCTAGCTAGCGGTTTTCTCATTTCTCCCCTCCTCCTCTTGCTTTTCTCTCTCCTCCGTTTTTCAGCCGAAAAAGTTTCTTGTTTGCATTTGCCTATCGCCTATCGTCTATCGTCTGGGAGAAGGCGGCCATGAGGAGCAGGATGGTGGCATGGGGCATGGGGCATGGGACAAGGGGCAGGACACCCGCCAGACGTTAAACATCGCGTGCAGACATTGCCAATGTTTGCCACGCCTTCTCCTGCCACACACACACACACACACACACACACACACTCCTGGCTGCCTCCTGCCAGAGTCCTTCTTCGCCTGCCACATGGAAAATGTTCTGCTGCTGTTCGACAGACAGATGGAAAAACGACCAGCAGAAACAGAAAACAGAAGTTGAAGTGCAAGACGGGGCACGGGGGGCACGTGGGCACGGGGGTTAGGGCGGATGGACTAGCGAAAAATAGAGAGAGAAAAATCAACAGAGACAACAGTGGTGGGGAAATAGGGAAAAATTTCCACCGAAACCAAAACCAAAAACCAAAAAACCTCAATCCAATTCCAATCTAAAGCTTCGACATTTATTTGTGATTTGTTGCAACTTTTCAGGTGCCACAACAGAGCTGGGGCGAGAGAGTTCAGCCGCTGAGTGAACACGTGTGTGGGGGAAATCAGGGGAAGGGAATCTCATAATTAGCCAGGATGTAGCCGTTGCCATTGGCATCAATCACAGCATAAAATAACGCAACATAACTTTGCTCTGCTCTGCTCTGCTCTGCGATTACAATTATGGCAATCTGTGGCCAGGCATTCGCTAATGAGATGATTACCGAGCAAAAGTATCTTTAAGGCTTAACCAAAAGTATCTGCTGAATGCCAGCAGTAACAGAAACAACACACAAAACAGAAGCCAGAAACAGGGGCACAAGCACACACCACACACCACATTTTACCCATTGGCCCATTATGATAATCATTTTTGAAAGGCTTTTCCTTTTGCTTTACTTTCCGCACGAGTTTTGTGGCACAACAAAAGGGGATTTAAATTACGCTACGCTAAGCGGTTTATGCAGTCGCAAACATCCATCCAACATTCAACATCCAACATCCAAAACAGCAGTCAGCGGTGGCAGAGACGGAGGCGGAGTGGATGTCAAAGTTAACAAGCAAACAACAGACTCTTCGCCCGACTCTTGCGACCAGCCAGTGACAGAAACAACCACCAGATACCCTTCATGGAGATACATATATATATATATACTTTAATAATAAATTCTGGATACACACTGGCAAAGAGAAGGATAATGGTGGATAGAGAGAGAATGACATTGCAGTAAATATTTACAAAAATTAAAAACTTAATAATTATATTTATAATGTGTCTTGTATTTCCAGGTTCTGCTTTCAACACTATTTTCATTATTTTTCTTATTTCCAACACTTGAACTACCTTTTTTGTGGTTCTCTTCAACACTACCATGTCTGAAGCACACTTGGGAAAACTATTTCCCTATTTCTCTATGATTTTGCTCTTGCAAATACAATAATTTAGCGGTTAGGCCGCCACTCAAATTCTGTCATAGCCACGAAAGAAGTGAAGTCCGGGGGGGGGGCATGGGGCTGCGTAAGTGTGTGTTGGAAGCTTCCAACTCTTGAGAGAGAGTTCTTTTCTAGAGTGGGGGTGGGGAGTGGTAAAAGGGATGGGGGGCAGACTAGTCTCATCAGCAGCCAAGCATCGCATTTTGAGATAAAACATAAAGCGGCACAGCACCTAACATGCGTGCATGTGCTGGCTGGCTGGCAGGCTGGCAGGCTGGGAGACTCCCTCACCACACCCCCCCCACTCATCCACATATTATCTCTTCCCTTCTCACTCGCTAACTCTCTCTCTTCCAGTGTGGCTCATCTCCGTGTGTGTGTGTGTGTGTGCGTGTGCGTTTGATTTGTTTTCTGCTGTTGACTTTGGATAATGTCGTTTGTTGTGTGCGGCTCGGCTCGGCTCGACTCTCTGCCATCTCGCTTGTGTTTTTGTGTGTGTTTTTGTGTGTGTGTTTGTGTGTGTGTGTTGATTGTCAGCTGTGAGTGTGTTTGTTTGCTTGACTGATTGTCGTGT